TAGCTAAGCAGATCGTCATCGTCTGGGGAACCGGTAGGTTGAGCAACGTGAACAATATATGGTTTCAGATTCCTGTTGCATAGGAGAAAAACAAAAGAAAATTAAGCATACAGAAGAAAGTAAGAAACTGCAAGAAACCCATTATTCTTTGTGATTCCTGCAAAAGAAAGTAACATGTATGCAATGCAAGGAAATTCAGATGGAAGTTTCCAGGATTAATAACAGAAAACCCCTCCTGCAATTGGTCGCCAAAACTTTATTTTTTACCAGCCATTCACTCCATATTTGCTTACTCCACCTGCTGTCCTAAATTCCCAACACACAGTGCATATGTCCGCAAGAAAATACCAAATAGATCTGTATCTTCCCTCCATACATATTAAACATTTGATTAATCAAGAAAAGGGCAAAATTCCCATAAAAAGGGGGACTTTATCTAGTTTTCATACACACACAACTAGAGGGAAAAATGTTAGAACCCTAAACCCTAAATTATTGAGAAAAAATGAAGGGAATTTATCAGATAAATGTCCTGTTACCGGACGAGTTAATTTTGATAATGTTCCTGCACCTGGATTCGAGCCGGGACACCTGCTCTTTGGTGAGCAAGGGGTGGTTGATGAAGCTCCGCCGCCATACCATCCATGATGGTGCCTCCGCCAGTCCCCACGTCTTAATTGACCTACTCGCCCGCCGGTTTATCAATGTTCGGAACATGTTCGTCGACGAGAGCCTCTCGGTTTCGCCCCCTCCCAAATCTGCAAGGAACCAAAATCAGACTCTAAAGCTGAGATCTCATAAACATAACCAAAGAAATACACAAATCTCATCGCCCTAATACCGACCGAACAGAAACCAATCACAGCAGCCAACAAGATAGGTAGAAGATGAAGATAACGCTCGAGAGACAGAGAGAGAAGAGTCTCAAGCCCGAAAAATCAGAATTGACTGAATATCAAAGAGTCCAACCAAACGAGAAACTAGGGCAAACTCAGTTTTGGGCCGGTTGTTATTGGGCCGACCCAATAACAGCCCAGCTGGGCAGCCGGCACGGGCTGTTAAGTCGGCACCGGCTCTATTTTTTAAAAATAAATTAATATTTCGAAGAATAAAAAAAATTTATTATGTACTTCATTTTTAAATATAACTTAATTCATATTTTATTTTTATAATGATTTATTTAATTTAAATAAAGAATTTTAAATTGATAATCACGAAAATGAAATATTATTTTTTTCACAAATTAGCAAATTTTTATTTTTTTTCATTTTAATATTTTAATGAATTTAAAATTCTTCAATTAAATATTCTTTGTAAATTAATCTTTAATTTTTTTTCGAATGTAATTAAATAATAATTAAATTGTTTAATTAACTTTAATATTTTCCGTTTGATTTAATTTTTATATATATAATTAAATAAATAATTTTAAATTGATAATTACCAAAAT